ATGGTTGAAGGTGTTTGCCCTGCCAGCTCTTGCAGTACTCCGATCAAGAGACGGCAGGAACATCATAAGGACTAGGGCTCGGGTGACTAGTTTGAGCTTTCGCGCTCGGACCTAGCGTGCAGTATCTTGCCCAGCCATCTTTTGGAAGATCCGTCTCCGTGCACAATTTCTGTGGAACCCAAGCCTGCACATGTCCAGCTTGTTTATCAAAGCTCCCTGCTTTCTGTCTGATTGGTTTGTCTTGGCAGGGGATATCGAGCTTGGCTCTGCGAAGATTCATTTTGGAACAGCCAGAACCTAGAACCTGCAACCGATCATCACCCAGCAAACGCTGCACCGCAAGCTGCTGGCTACTTGCAGAACAATTGACAGGGGGTTCAGGCATTCACAACACTTCAGATATGGTATTCTGGACCGTCTTTTTCTGGGAATCTCTAGTCGCGTCTGGTCAAAGCCTCGATTCAGCGGTGACGCATGGCAACATCCTACGAGCCACAGCTGCAATGGGAGCCTTTTAGGCCTATGCGGAAAAGGATCCCCGCACCTAAAACCTTCGGAAATCGAGACAAAGACAAGGCAAAATCGCCCACGGTCCACGCCACTTCGAGCCTGGATTTTGTGTTTGCGTAGACCTTTGATTGTCTAAAAGTGTTCAAAGCGACCCCAGTGCCCCAGCCGAGTTGTCCCGTCCATCAGCCCTGCCGCCTTTGACTTTGCTATGCATGACATCCCAAAGCTTCTGAGGGCCGTCGGAGTCCAGAGCACTACTGCTCCGTAGTAGCCTCGGCGTAGGAGATCTGATGTGCTGTGTTGTCAGGCCATGATGCATCGTCTTTCGAAAGTTTAGGACTTGAACCGCGGCTGTTGGGCTGTACAGGACCAGTTTGATACCTAAACTCCTGACTCGGCAGTGCCAAAAACGACGAAGTCCCTAAGGCAGTGCCACAACAGGTAGGTGAAATTCCTAGACGAAGCTTTTGAGGGCACACGTTCCAAGTGCGAGGGCCTGCAGATAGGAATGTGCTGGGTTAAGTAGTGTTGGGACTTTCCGGCTCATTGACTAGAGTTTGAGCTGCATGCCCAGAGAGGTCTTTACAGGCCCACGGAGAAAGCTCCCCGCCTTGGCTAGAGGCAAATATCTCAAACGCTGGCCTCGTGTAGGATGGGACCTCTCCAGAGCGCATGCGCCAGGGTCCTCTGAAGTAGACAACTGAGGACAGCCCGTGCGACTCATACCCACGCATTGTCGAGAACGTCCTTTCTGACGCAGATGTAGCGCACTTCAAGCAGCTCTACAAGGATGTCGTGCTGTCCTCCATGTCAAAGGATTTCCTTTGGGTGAGGGCCATGCATGATAATGTGGAACCTGCTGTAGCGGGGCGCGTGGGGGCGGGTGAGGGGGGGGGAGGGGGGGCGGCGCAAAATCAAATTTTCGAAAGGATTTAGTTCTTCAACTGTTTTTTTGGGGGCTGGAGATCAACAGCCTAAACCACATTCTGGAAAAATACTTGACCCTGTCCTGGGGGGTGGCTTCGTTTCCAAACGTCTGGCCGGGCCTCCAACAATCGGAAGCCTCTCCCTGCTCAGCTTCTCGGCCCGAGCATGTTTTTTGGGCTATTGTCCGAAAAGATCACAGATTTCCTGTAATGCACTTTATTTTCCTCATCCTGAATTTTAGTGTCCAGATACTGGTACCAGCTCAAATACCCAAACTAGCTAGCAGCTAGCATTTTGAAACCTGAAACTAGACTCAATACTGAGTATAAAGCTGAACATCGTACAACGAACATTGTTAAATGATGGTTTCAGGAATGTTTGTTGATGTTTCCAGTGCAAGTAGTAGTACTAGCACCACGACTAGCCCGAATGTATCCTAGCGCAAGTAGGTTTACAATAGGAAGGATTACCAAAATTCATCCGAAACCAAAACTAGGAAAATTAAGCAGAATGCCAGAACTACTAGCAATGCGGGTGCTAGTATTAATTCTTATCCGAAGTTGCACTACCAAACTTAGAGGGGATTCCGATACCAATTCATACCAATGCTAGTATGAATGACACTACCAGTATTAGTACTCGTACCACTGCTATTTCGAATACGTTTACTACTGGGAATACTTTACCAAGGCCAGTACAATACTACGACAATGCAGTACGAGTCCTGATACTAGTACGGGTATTAAGTTAAGTTTTGTAATTAGTGGTATGAACGTTAATATCCTCGTCTTACCACGCTGTTTCCCATCAGAAGATAGTCATGGTGGGTGGCGGTGAGGGCGGGGAATTACGTTCAAGCCATGTAAAGACATGGCATTTGCAGCATCTTATTGCTTGCAGAATTGTCCAAGATGAAACTCTTTGCGCATACGCAGCACGAAATGACAAACGAACGGCAGGCTGCCGAAGCTTTGGTTGCAGCGGTTGCTGGAGTCCTTCGAAGATAGTGGGGATTCGCGGCTGAGTAAAATGATTTGGACAGGCGAAAGAACCAAAATTGCTAAAGCGCGCACCAATGCATCGCCCAAGCAGGAAGCTGTAAACCTAAACATCAGCTGCACCATAAGACACCTGCCCAAAGAAAACAATATTGCTCATAGGACCTTGTCGTAAGCCGCACAAATTTAAGCGGCAGATCCTTGCACGAGCAATACAAGTAGTAGAAGCGCGCACTTGCACAAAGAGTGAATCTGAGCAGCACGTCCCAACCCCCCGAACCCAGTTTAACGGTGTTCGTGAGTGCGATGCGGAGCTTCTACTTCAGTAATGGGATGAGGGTGTCATGGTGATCTCTGCAAGGCATTTGGCTTGCTTCTACGTCAGGCTTCTGGGCTTGCGTATCAAATCTTGATCCAATTTGAAGGTTTGGTGCGTTTTGTTCAGAATGTGCCGTCTGTTGAACACAGGCTATACGGAGATGAGAATGAGAGCTGGCCTGTACCATGACGTGTCTCTTCATCTTGAATAAGAGAGCGAGTTCATCATGCAATGGAAGAAACCAAAGCCTGAGCACTTAAAGCTGCAGGAGCTGGCAGAGGACGAGTGGCTGAAACGCGAAAGCCAGGCTGCACCACCGATCGAGAGCGCGTAAACACCATCAATGCCATCAATCTGCTGCGTTCGGTCGCTACAAGTAGCAGCCAGCGGTAATCCCCAGGCCACAACCCTCATCTTACATGCGCAGAACAACAAGTTTGGGCAAGCAGGCAAAGGCCAATGGCTGCGCTGCGCCTCCGAGGCGGCTGGAGTACTTTACCTTGCTGCCAGGCTTAAGACCTTCTCTTAAAAGCCGCCAAAGCGAGGAACCAAATGCTGTCCGTGCAAGAGCTTGGTTCCTTGTTAGTGGGTCTAGTGCAGATAAAGTTCTGGATCTTCGAGTTGGGGTTTGTGCAGTATGCTACCATTGATTAGGTAGCTTCAGCAACTTGAAAGGACCACCCCATTTTCAGCGAGTTGTTTACACAGAGTGCCATGCCACCCAGTAGGAGCCTGCATGTGCACCCCCCCCCCCGGTCAGAGACGGAGCATGGGGAGGTGGTCGACTAAACACGCACGCATACGCGCAAACCATGTACGAAACAATTCCAATTCAGGACAAGCTTGTTTTTTTTTTGCCTGCTCTCTTGCAACAAAGAACACACAGCTGGCTCAATGGGAGCTATGGGAGATGGCCAGAACACACATCTGAATCCGAGGCTTGCCTCGGATCAGAATAGGGGAACCTGGAGCATTGAAGCATGCTCTACCTTTTCTCCTTGCAGTTTTGGCCAGGTTACCCTCTTGCCATGTCTGCGCGAAGTAAGCTCACTTGTGTTTTTGGAAGGCCCTACGGGACAGAAATCTTCGGAAAATGTGTTCAGGACAGCCCATAGCCGGGGCCATGCCGGGCCCAACGGACTTGTTTCCTGTGCAGCGCAGGGGACGGTCACTTTTCCAATACGTCGAAATCAGGAAACTCCGGCAGCAACTTCAACTTCTACTTCGGACATCGGATTGTATCAGCTGTTGGTGACGCCTCACCCGTGAGTGCATTGAACTTTCTTTGCGTGCATTTGTGGCGGCCCCTTGAACCCACATGAGAGGACAGAAGGGCATTTCAAGCTGACATGGGCGAACAATGAGAGAGATCTTTTGACATGTAGCTTTTGCCAGTTTTCCATGTGAGAGAGCCGGCCCTAGAACTGGGAAGGCGGGGAAGTCACAGGCAACTACCTGTTCATTTGAACGATAAACAGTCGAAAATGCGCTTGGCAAACCTCGCAGTGGCCAAGGCTCAAGCATATTCACGGCAAGCCACAAGACGAGAAACTTGCGAAGATCTTGGACAAGATCTACGAGACTGATTTGCAAAGCCCAGTGGGCCCAGCAGCTCCGGTTTCGGATTTGATGGATGGAGCTTCATCATGACTTGTTGTTTTCGGAGATTCTGGGTCTCTTGGAGGAGGGAGGCGTTCGTCTGTTCTTGACTGTGGTAGCTTGAGCAAGCGTCTCGCGAATGGGATTAAGTCCAGATGAGAATGTTCCTTGTTGGGTGCGTATAGTGCGTCTTCACGGAGGCTCGTTATAGGATGGCGAAAGTGCAGTCATTGTTGTTTCGGCTGCTGCAAATTGTGCTGGCTCACGCCGGAATTGAGTCTGTGTCTATACCCCATGCCTCGCCAGACCAAGCCACAACTCGCTGTGGAACTCCGGCGGGGATTGAAAGGCTTTGGATTCTGGTTTCACGTGCTGCGCCAAGTTGGCTGTGAATCTCCCAAGTCCTGTCAAAAGTCAGTAACAGTGTCAGATTCTCAGCTGGCAGGGGATCTGAAGCAGCAACGCAGCGAAACGGAAATAGATCGTGGATTCAGGGTTTGGGGCTTCGGGCTCAACATCAGAAACCTTCGTTTGGTTGGCGCGACATGGCGTTGCAGGAGGGTCCAGATGATTTCAGCTGCCAGTATGCACTTCAACACCGCAAGCTCTTCACAAATCATTACTGTCGCAAGTTTTCAACAACCCAGGAACGTGTGGAGGCCGTCTTCGGGCCGGGCTATGTAGCGGTGCAGGCTGGATGTGCTGCAGCTTATGCTTATTGGGTTGTTGCTTTTCCAACTCATGCTTTCCATGGAGTGCAGAACTACTCGCGTTTGCCTGTAATGGTGGTTGTGCGAGCGGAAGTGACCCACAGATGTTGTCTTTGTTGGAATCGTTTCCAGAGTGTAGTTCCAAAAAGAATGGTGGTTGCTGTCATCTTCCCATGCTGAAACTTCAGGTTACGGCAGAAACTGAGGTGAGATTATTAGACATTCAAAGGAAATCCGGGCAAAAGCTGCGCGACTTAAAGCCCGCAGGATTTCTGGTCCTGGCGCGCTCCGGACTCGGTGGCAGCCGAGCGGATCCACATGGATGGGGAAGCTCAGCCATCCTGAGCTGTGATGTTTCGTTGTTCTGCTCAGGAAGCTTCTGTGCGGTTTCAGCTAAAGGTTCCTGGCATGGGGCCCGACTGGTGAAATTCAAGTTCTGCAAGCCGCTTGTTCTTTGCGACCTGATTTTCCTCCCCCTCCCTGCCTCCTTCCCTGTATCTCGCTCTCTCTCTTGCTCCTCGCTCGCTCTCCCTCTCTCTCTCTTTTTCTTTTTCTCTCTCTCTCTCTCTCTCTCTTGTTTTACCCCACAAGCCTGGACAACTTGCAATTGATGAGAATCAGTGCGATTCTCCGTCATGGGCCAGGGTTTGTTGCTAGGATTACCTGAAAGCTTCAGCTCCCAGACAAGCTATAGAATCGTAAGCCCGCTGAAAGCTTTTCTTCGCAAAGCCTTGACTCTGCGTGGGAAGTGGTGGGAAGCAAACAAAGCTGCTACCATTCAAGCTTGTTTCTATTCCAGCCATCTCTCATTCTGTCAGCACAACTTATTGGTGCTTCGCCTTTGCGTTTGGGAAACTGAGACACTGGAACCCTACTCCTACTGCCTATAAACGAACTAGCAACTTAAGATACTGCTAAGCCTGCCTGATTCGTCTCCTGCTGTAAGGATTTCTGGCTCACTGGGGCCAACGACGGTGGCTTGCCTTTTCTCTTCCAATGTTGTACTCGGAGCGGGTTATCTCTCTTGTATTCTGGGAAGGGCAAATAAGAGACACCTGGATCACGCGGCGTCTGTGGCTGGTCCTAAGATGTCCTAAGTTTGCGTAGGGCAAGAAGGGAACGGGCGAGCTATGGACCGCTTGCTCTTCGAAGGCGTACCTTCACACTTGGGGAGGAGCGACTAGGTGAAATCAAAGACTATTCGAGGGTGAGTTGTGACACGCATTGCTCATGAGGCACTGCCCTTGTAACAGGGCCGCTTGTAATGGGGCTTCCAGCCTTCCAGCCCTTGCCAGCAAAGCCATACGACAGAACCTCTTTGCCTACGATAAAACCTTGCTCATGTTCGTTTCAAGAGGCCATGAGCCGTGGGCGGCGCAAGCAGCAAGCAGGCGAAGCTTTCCCCTTTAGGCCTGTTGCTTCAATGTTCTTACATTTGATAGCCTGCCACGACATAAATCGTACAAGGACGGCAGGGCAATCTTAATGCAGCAATCGCCGACTCCTCATCCCCGAGATGAATTGTGATGTTTGGGATGTTGAACTCACCCAGGCTTCAATCTCTGGCTGCTCTTGGACCACTGCGATATGGCACATAGCTTCGACATATTCACGAAGGAGCGCGCAGAGGGATCCTGGTGTGCTGTGCTTGCTGTGTTTTGCTGTCCTTGTCTTTAGTGGTGTCTCCGCAATGTTGTGATGAATACAACACACTGGGCGTGAAAGACTGGAGTCATTGCATAATCGTGGTTCAGACTGCTGTTCAGTATTGCGGCGTGGCACTCTTGCGCCTGCGGGAAAGCAAGTGCAGGAGTCTGTAGGAGTTGTTTTGGGCTCGTGCTTAAGGCAGTCTTCCCAGTCTTGTTATGTTAAGAGCTGCTATGACGGGCTCCGCTCTGCAGCAGTGGTTTTGAGCACTGCATGAAGAAAGCTTTCAGGGTTCAGCATGGAGGAGATCGCCCTTTCTGCAGCTTGTCCTCAGGCTTCTCTACGTACCAAGTATCCATACCTGGAGTCAAACCTTGCAAAAGCTGGAACTTCAGGTCTGCATATATCTGGCAAGAAAGTATGTCCCACCCAGGAGGATAACCCAGACTTGTACAAGCTGGTGGGGTGCAGCTGGCATGGATTATGCTTTGCGCAGATTTTCGTCTGTGACCACGAGAGCCTTCAATACGCAACAACCTTAGCCCCTGTCTCAAAGTAAATGGGGGCCCGAAGATGCATGACTAAGACTCCTGGAGCAGGATCCCTGACTTTTAAGATCCCTCATCAGATCCCTGAACGTAGAAAGCCCTTAATGTCCTTTCGGCTCAGCATCTAGCAAGGCTTGGGGCAAGGTCCAGAGATGATATAGCACTGATTTAGGTGCAACCAGCTGGTTGCACTGGAAGAAGTCTGTAAGATCTATTGAAGGTTCCGGGTAATGACAACCCACAGAGACAAGGCTTAACGGACTCGAAGCCCCGCAGTCCGCTCTCAACCTGCAACCTGCAGAGTGGGAATTCTTTGCTCCGTAGGTCCTGCCTGGAATGTTCATTCGTACTTGTGTACTCATTGCAACGAGAGGCGCCGCGTATGCTCCATTATACGCTTCAAGGAGCAATGCTGCTTCATTGCAAGGTTTTGCAGTTCACTTGAGCAAAGGACGTTTTGGATGAGGAGGATTGATGTTGTGGAGGTTGTCGCTAACACTCCCTCAGACCAAGCCGGTAGAGTCAGCGTTTGGGGGTTGGGAGCTTTTAGGTTATGCACGTACGTTTCTCGTTTGGAGCTGCACAGGTGAGGTGCCAGGATCTGCAAACAGGCAGGCTCACTTGACCCTTTGCAGGGCTGCGCCGTTCGAAGCCGACTGCTAGCTTTAATTGATGCGCAGCTCTATATCGTTCCTAGGAGTTTAAAGGATTGGCAGTGGATTCGTGACAGAGGGCTTTAGCTTGGAAAACGAGAACACACTCACCAAAAACGAACACGTCAACACACACGTTGAAAATTGGAAAATGATAACACATTTTCCATTGACCAGTAGCCCAAACAACAAACAAGTACCGTACATTAATTAAGGTCAGCAGGAACTTGTGGTTGAAAGGCTCTGCATAACTCCAGTAGGTCCCCATATAGCATCTAACCTAAACGCACTTCCAGACGCTCCTGGACTCAGAAGACGGCTGGCCCTGCCACGTGCAAGGCATCAAGGTCTTGCTGCTGGGTGGCTGCACTCCTCATAATGGTTCATGGACAGCCAGTTTTAGCTCGGAAGTGCTGACCTCCTGCGTGCCAGTAGTCCACTGAGTGCAGGAAGCGAGGAATGCCGGGCCAGGACTCCTCTTCTGGGAGCCCCTAAGGCCTGAGCCAGCAAGGGCCATGGACATACTGCCATTGCCTACATACCTCATTACCGGATCTCGTGCGCACTCCCAGCTGCATCTTCTTTTCCTTGGATGTTATTAGCTACAGGCAGGCTACAAGGGAAAGCGGTTAAGGACCTGTAGGATCCCCAACCGTCAAGCGCTTTGCACACGATGACCAATTTTTTGGGGATGGGTCTTTGATTTTGCCTCGCATTGGTGGCATGACTTGCCAGACTGAGCTGGCAGCATGATATGTGCAGGGGGGTTCAAGTGATCCTGTTCCTGAATGTGGATCAGTAGTTTCCCGACCAGGTCGCAAGGCGCATCAGTGATTTCGCGTAGTATGAAGAGGCTTTCGTTGCTAGCATAAGAAGAGTAAAAAAAACAGTGCTCATATTATGAGGTGATGGAGAGGAGCGCTTGGGATCGTTTGGGCAGCTTACCAGTGTGAAGCTTGTCATTGGTCACCAAAACTGAGTTCCGATGATGTGTCCAAGCTTTCTGGACTGAAATCCGAGGGCGGCATGTTAAAGAGAGTCTTATAGAGTCTTCTCAAATCCCCTGCCCCAAGCCATCCGAGACTGCCGAATACTGCTCCTCTGAGAAGCCCCCACACAGCCGATGCGCTTTTGCCCCGCACATCGGCTCCATGTGCCTGGTTGCGCCAGGCTCTGGCCGGTGCTCTTCGAGTTGTCCAGCAAGGTGCGATGGCTACAAGCCCCGGAAGAGCAAACCTTGACAGAGGGTTAAGTCTATTCTTAGTTAGAAGCAGGTTCATGGACGGATCATGCGTTGAACAGGCTGGGTGCCTAGCTTGAGGTCGAAAGAGAGCTGGCTTCAGGTGAGGACTGAAAGATGCTGAGAGCACTACCCTGTCTCCCCCCCTCAAACATCGTGGAATACTTGCAAGATGCACAGCGACCGGAAGTTCCAAAATTCCAGGCTGCAAGGGAGCTCGGCATGATCCTGAGTGTGTTCTCCACATGGTATCTGCAGCTGCTGGGCTAAGCTTTGTGATCTTATTCTGCATGTTGTTCCTGTATGGAGCTCGAGCGATGTCCCTGAGCTTCTTGGATCCTCTTCGCCTCTCCCTCACGTATTTCCATCTTTCCTATATCCTAATCATCCATAAGGTGTAGTTTGCTAACCTGGGGTCAGGCAGTTACAGACCTCAAAGTCCAGTGCTTCAGCTGTTGGGTTAAGCAGGATAGCCAGCTTCTATGCCATGCCTTATCAAGTCCAAGCTGCTTTGATAAGTTGGGGGGGTTCAGGTTGTTGATTGGCCAAAGTGCGTGATTACTGAAACCTTGCTTTGGGCCCGCCCATCTTTGTGGCTGGCCTTGTCAGGGGTTGTAGAACTGTTTGCCAAGACCCTGGGCCGATTTAGGAGAGGATGGAGAGGTCCCCTGCAAAGACTCCCCTGTGCAGAGCAGGGCTTAGAGCGTTTCATAGGTTTGTGTCGACTATTGCCACATGCATCGCCTGCTTGTCCAGCGGCCCGCCATAGCCACAGTAGAGAGTTTGTGCCCGCAAAGTCTTTCCCCAAACAAGGCAGAAATTCGGGCCCCTGTTTGTGGGGACAGCTGCTGCAAATATATTTGACAAAGATCAGCACAGGAGTGGCGTTACAGACGAGCAACCTGCAAGAAGATTGAAAGCGTCAACGGGCCTTGTCGAAGCTGAGGAAGACCATGTCTCTGGCAGTCCGAGCCCAGCGAACACTCCCTGGCTCAGTCTTTCGTGGCCTGATTTCTGTGGCAGGCCATGGGTATCTTTGGGTCAAGCCTCCAGGCCTAGACCAACACGCCATGCAGGTGCTCATTGCTCCAAGCTCGGAGATGCAAGGATTTGAGCAAGCCTTCCAAATGCACAGATAGCCTTTGTGAAATATACTATAAACCTCGATTTGGACTGCGTGTACGTTGCCTCCTCATTCTGTACAGTGTTTGTTTTGCAGCACATGGATGTTTACCACACCATGTAGGACCTTGGGTTACCCGGGGCGCCGTGTTTGGATGAAGCCAGCCGGCACTCTAAACGACCGGTTCTCACGCTGGTAGAGGAACCGGTGCCTTGTTCTCAGGGCTCGTGCTCTTTCGTTCGTTTCACTTGAGACTGCCAGAAATGCGGTTCGCACGCTGCTTTGGAACCATGGCAGCTGGAGGGGGATTGCGTTACAACCCCAAGTCAAACACTGCTTACCAAAGCCGGACTTATCGTTTACAATGGTTTGGTCACGGGCTACTATGAATGGTAATTCCGGGTAATAGCGAGGTACCATGCCACCAAGACACAGGAATGATACACCATGGAAGCAAAAAACCCTCTGAAGCTTGCGCGCTTGGACGCACATATCATTGCACGGGATCTTGGAAGGACTTGTACTCGCAGATGCTGAGGATAGGAGCAACCGTTGGCGGTGCGCTATCGAGACAGCCTGGTGGAAGCATGACATGGTACGTCGGGAGAAGACGACGATGGTATCACGAGCTCAAGCAGCTTCATGATAAGATACAGATACAATTATCCGACGACATTTTTGCGGATTTCTTCATGGACAACAGTGGATTGGACAAGAAAGAGAGATTGATGATCCGGAAGCTATAGAGAAGGCTCTGATTGCACCGCATTCCAAAGTGCATATTTGGCATACCTTGAAGACGACGGCGGAAGCATGCAGTGCTTCGCACGACTGCAATCAGAGGAAAGGAAAAGGAAACATACTTTAGCAACAACCGAAGCCACCTTTCTACTGAGGAAGCAGCTTACTTGTCTTCAATCCCTCTGAAGACCCCTATGATGAGAATCAAGGAGAGCCCATGTGGGAGGGTGAGCAGGGGATGATCCCAGCAGAGGATGCCGCTGCCTTGCTGGCTTGTTCTCTCGTGGATGGTGGGTCAGGTAGCTCGTGCTTACAAAGCTAGACCCAGTGGACTGTCCATTAAGGACAGAGGAGCGAAGTTGAAGGAGATCAAGTTAAAGTCAACATGCAAAGCATGTGGCAAGAAAGGACACTTGGCATGTGGCAAAAGGCGTGCCGGAAAGACGGACACTCCCAAATAACCACACATGGCACAGGTAATCCGGAAGGATGCTTCAACCCAAACAGAAAATTACGGGGTAGTCATTCACAACCTCCTGATATGTCCTTCTTTAATGTAAAAGCCTGATCAGCCCCTTCAGGTATCCCAGCACACTATCAAGATCTTCATCATTGGCATCAAAGTCACAAGCTTCAAAGAAACCGAGGAGAAGATGGAGAAGAAC